GTCGATTCCGTCACTTATACACACATTATTCGCGATAAAGTGGACGAAATTATTGACAAAATTCCTGTCTATGAAAGTATATAAAATTTTAATTAAATTAATTTCTTTATAACTAAACACAAAATTGTTTTATGCTTTTAAGCTGAAGATATTGACAACAGATTTGCGCCGAGATTTACACGACTTTTGCAATGTGTCGACACTTTTGTCGGCGAAACCGTAACGCTTGAGTGTCAGGTTGAGGGCAATCCTCGGCCGACAATCACTTGGATTAAAAATTCATCGATTTTAATGGCAAACGAAGAGATAGAGATGTATTACTCGGAGGACAACATCGCAAAGCTTATCATACGGGAAGTGTTTGCCGAAGACTCGGGAAAGTACACAGTAGTGGCCAAGAATACGGTCGGATATCAAGCATACACTGTTGACTTCAACGTAGATGGTATGCTATTTACACTTTAATTAATAATTATTGATTAACACATTTTTGTGGGTCTTTTAGTCGATTATTCGGACAAAGAATCGGTGACGAGTCGGAAGAGTCTGTCGCGTGAATTATCCATTGTCTCAATACTGGAAGAGTTCGCAGAAACACCCAAAAAGAAAGTATCGGAAGAGAGGCTCAAAGAATTAGAAGAAATCGTAGAATTAAAGGCCAAGAAAGAGGTAACAAATGAATTGAAATTGAAATTAGCATAATTATAGCAAAGTATGCTTGATCAATTACAACACAATTGCCAAACTATTCATTTCATATCAAATAAAAATTTATATTTTAAAATTGTATGAAAAGCCGGAAGAATTGATTGCGACGATTACAGTGGTGTCCGAAACGCCAACAATGCTATCCGTATCGGAAGGCGACCGGATATATGTGGTGGAGAGACACACCAGCGACTGGTGGTTTGTACGCAAACGTATAACTAATGAAAGCGGTTATATTGAGTCCAAAAATCTGGTCGATTCCGTCACTTATACACACATTCTTCGCGATAAAGTGGACGAGAAAATCGATAAAATACCTGTTTATCAAAGTATATAAATTTTTAATGAATTGATTCAATAAAACTAAACACAATTGTGTCACGCATTTAGCCGAGGAAATTGACAACAGATTTGCGCCGAGATTTACCCGAGACTTGCAATGCATCGACGCTTTTGTCGGCGAAACCGTAACGTTTGAGTGTCAGGTTGAGGGCAATCCCCGGCCGACCATCACTTGGTTTAAACACTCGTCAATATTGAAGCCCAACGACGAGATACAGATGTATTACTCGGAGGACAACACAGCAAAGCTTATTATTCGGGAAGTGTTCGCCGAAGACTCGGGAAAATATACAGTAGTGGCCAAGAATACAGTCGGACATCAGGCATATACTGTTGACCTTAACGTTGAATGTATTTATTCACTAATTAATAGTTTGTGTTTTCAATCAAAACTAATTATAAACTCATTTTATGAATCTTTCAGTCGATTATTCGGACATAGAATCGGTGACAACGAGTCGTAAGAGTCTGTCGCGCGAGTCATCCATTGTCTCAATACTGGAAGGCATTCCTCCGGTGTTCGCAGAGACGCCCAAAAGCATTGAAATCAAAACTGGAAAACAGTTCGCAATCGAAGTCTGTGTTAGCGCTCAAACAAAATTCAATATCCGATGGCTTAGGAATGGCATCGAAATCAAAGAATCGAAACGAATTCAAGTAAAATCTTCTGAAGATATCTATTATTTTAAATACCAATTAGTGGTGGAGAAGGCGTCCGAAGACGACGAAGGAATATATGAGATAATAGCGGAAAATAAGGCCGGAATCGCCTCAACAACTGTTGTCGTCTATAATGAGAAAAAGAAACAAAAGCCGGCATTCATTCAGACATTCGGCGACGTCTTTGTTGAGGAAGAATCGGAGACAACGCTTTCAGTGAAATACACGGGACATCCGAAGCCACAAATACAATGGTTCCGCAATGGAAAGTCCGTTAAGGCCTCCAAGACTATCACTCAACGAGATCTCAACGGCAGTGAAAGCAGTATTACAATAGAAAATGTGGTCAAAGTAAACCATTCGGGTGTTTATAAATGTGTGGCCAGTAATGCGATCGGACAGTGCGAGCACTCGGCCAAAGTGGCCGTCATTTCCAAAGAGTTGCGATTCGTTGAGAGATTACAAGAGACAGAAGTGCAGGAAAACAGCAAAACATTATTAGTGGTGAAGATATCTTCGGATGAGGAGGACGTCCGGTGGCATAAAAACGGAGAACTCATCGATGAAAACAACACTAACTTTGAATTCATAAAAGAAGGCTTTTATCGCAAACTATTGATTAGAGAGACATTACTTGAGAACGAAGGCGAATACACCTGTGTTTTGGGCAAAGATAATGAGTGTTCAGCCGATCTAATAGTCATTGAATTGCCGCCAAAAATCATCACCGAATTAGAGGACAAGAGTTGCGTTTTCGGCCAAACAGTGAACTTCAATATCGAGTTATCAAAAGGCGATGCAATCGTTAAGTGGTTTAAAGACGACAAATCAATTTTGTGTTTAGTTATAAAGAAATTAATTTAATTAAAATTTTATATACTTTCATAGACAGGAATTTTGTCAATAATTTCGTCCACTTTATCGCGAATAATGTGTGTATAAGTGACGGAATCGACCAGATTTTTGGACTCAATATAACCGCTTTCATTGGTTATACGTTTGCGTACAAACCACCAGTCGCTGGTGTGTCTCTCCACCACATATATCCGATCGCCGGCCGATACAGATATCATTGTCGGTGTTTCGGACACCACTGCAACCGTTGCGATCATTTCTACCGGCTTTTCATACAATTTTAAAATAAATTGTTATTTTATTTGAAATGAATAACATTTATTTGAATTGATAATAAATTAATTGATGTAATTAATCATGCACATTTTGAAATTATTACACAATTAGCCACAATTTTAAACGACACTTTACCTCAATTGCTTTCTTAGCCTTAATTTCTACGACTTTTTCTAATTCTTTGAGCTTCTCTTCCGATAGTTTTGTTTTGGATGTCTCTGTCGTGTCGTCCAGTAGTGAGACAATTGATAATTCACGCGACAAACTCTTGCGACTCGTTGTCACCGATTCTTTGTCCGAATAATCGACTAAAAAATCCGCAAAATTTTGTTTAATTATTAATTTTAATTAAAAAATCAATTATTGATTAAAGTGTAAATAGCATACCATCTACGTTGAGATCAACAGTGTATGCTTGATGTCCGACTGTATTCTTGGCCACAACTGTATATTTTCCAGAATCTTCGGCAAACACTTCCCGAATGATAAGCTTTGCGATGTTGTCCTCCGAGTAATACATTTCTATCTCTTCGTTAGCCATTAAAACCGATGAATTTTTAATCCAAGTGATTGTCGGCCGAGGATTGCCCTCAACCTCGCACTCAAATGTTACGGTTTCGCCGACAAAAGTGTCGATACATTCCAATAGTCGTGTAAATCTCGGCGCAAATCTATTGTCAATATCTTCGGCTTAAGGCATAAAACAATTGTATGTTTAGTCTTAAAGAAAATAATATAATTGAAAATTCATTAAAAAAGTTTAAATACTTTCATAAACAGGAATTTTGTCAATAATTTCGTCCACTTTGTCGCGAATAATGTGTGTATAAGTGACGGAATCGACCAGATTTTTGGACTCAATATAACCGCTTTCATTTGTAATGCGTTTGCGTACAAACCACCAGTCGCTGGTGTGTCTCTCCACCACATATATCCGGTCGCCGGCCGATACAGATATCATTGTCGGCGTTTCGGACACCACTGTAACCGTTGCTATCATTTCTTCCATCTATTAATGCATTTATAAAACAATTTGTTAATTGAGATCAAAATAAAATAATTTGATTGTAAACGAATAATTCATGCAATTGTGTAATTTGTGAATAATATACTTGAATTTCTTTCTGCACTTCAATCTCCTTCTTGACCGTCAATTCTGCCGCTTCTTCTGAGACCTGATACTCCTGTTTGTGAGTCTCCCCTAACCTAATGGTCGCGCTTTCCTCCAGTTCTGTGATTCTCTCTTCCCGTGACTTAGTTTTGGCTAAACTTAAGTCAAAACTCTTTTCGGTTTCACTGAAGTCCAACACTTTCTTCTTTGGCATTCGTTTTACTTTGAATTCGCTTTCAAACGATTCCGACTCATCTTCTATTGTCTTATACTTCTTGAGTCCGAATTTAACCACTCGTTCCTCTTCTTCGACCACTTGTTCCTCCACTTGAGTGTCGGCCTCTTGTGTTGGTATCTCTACGTCCGCTGTGGCCGACTCTTCTTCGCCGTACGTCTGTCGCTGTCTATCGATAGAAATGGTTGCACTCGAGTCCTCTTCACGACTCTTTGGCTTTAATTTCTTTTTGATTGTAATATCAGTCGATATGTCACTAATTGTGGTCTTCTTTTCGCCGACAATAAACGTAACGCTCTCTTCACTCGTCGGTCTTCTCAGTCGAAACGATTGTTCCGTCTCTTCGTCGTCCACTTCCTGTCCGATAGACGTCCGCTTCGGTAATGTTTTTGTTACGCTCTCAACGGCTTCTGTCGTCTGTTGTCCTGTGATTTCAATCGTTTTCTGGACATCACTTTCAACGGATTCCGGCGTTGTTTTGTCAGTCAATTGAATTGTTTGCGATTCCGTATAGTCTTTGACTTTTGGCTTCTTTTTGATTGTGATTTCAGTCGACGAGTCCTCCAATTGTTTTTGTTTTTGTTCAATACTTGCGCTCACGCTTTGATCGATAGATTCTTTTGACGGTTTCCTTAATTTAAACGTTTGTTTCTTTTCAATCTCTTCAGTCGTTTGATCCACAGATTCTTTGTCCGGCAATTGAACCGTTAGTTCACTTTCTGTGTCCTTTTGTTGTGATTCTGGTTTTGATAAAATGATATCACTTTCTGTTTTATCACTCGATTTACGCTTTGGTTTCTTTTTAATTGTGATTTCAGTGGAAGAGTCCTCTAATTGTTTCTCCTTTTGCTCAATAGTAAGGCTAACGGTTTGATCGATAGATTCCTTAGGCTTTTTGGATAATTTAAATGTTGTTTGACTTTCGGTCTCTTCGGGTGTTATCAAAGGTTTTGGTAAATCAACGGTAAGATCGGACTCAACAACTGCTGGCAAAGTCTCGGGAGACGACAAACTGAGTTCACATTCGGTAGAAGTGATTGATTTACGCTTTGGTTTCTTTTTAATCGTTATTTCAGTCGAAGAATCCTCTATTTGTTTCTCCTTTTGCTCAATATTTAAGCTTAAAGTCTGATCCGCGGATTCACTCGGTTTTGCTTTCAACTTAAATGTTTGCTCTGTTTCTTCAATCTTTGGCACTTTCTCTATGATCTCTTCAGTCGTTTCTTCAATTTTCTTTGGTTTTTTAATCTTCTTTTTAAGTGTTGTATCAGTTTTGAGTTCGGCCTCTGGTTTGTCCTCAACCTCGGGAACCGTTGGCTTTTGAGATGTGGTTAATGTCACACTTTCGGAGACATCTTTGGGAACTGTACTAATGGTTACGGTCTCCTCCTGTACCGAATCTTCGGCCGTAATTGGTATCACTTCCTCTACAGTCTCCGCCACTTTCTTTGATTTAATGATTTTCTTTTTGAGTGTTATATCAGTCTTTGTTTTGACCTCTGGCTGGCCTTCAGTCTCGGGAACCGTTTTCTTCTCGGGTTTAGTTAGAGTCACGCCTTCAGAGACACTATCCTTTGGAACAGTACTAATGGTAATCGTTTCTTCCTGTACCGTGTCTTCTGACTTAAGTGGTATCACTTTCTCTACAGTCTCCTCAACTTTCTTTGGTTTCTTTATCTTCTTTTTGAGTGTTATATCAGTTGTAGTTTCGACTTCTGGTTGGCCTACAGTCTCAAGAACCGTTGTCTTTTCGGGTTTAGTTAGTGTCAAACTTTCGGACACAACGTCTTTGGGAACAGTACTGATGGTAATCGTCTCCTCCTGTACCGTGTCCTCTGACTTAAGTGGTATAACCTCTTCACTTGTTTCTTCAGTTTTCTTTTGTTTTTTAACTTTCTTTTTGAGGGTTATATCAGTTATCGCATCAACTACTGGTTTCTCCTCAATCTCGAGAACCGTTGGCTTATGAGTTGTAGTTATTGACACACTTTCAGATGCGATATCAGTCTCGGGAACCGTTGTCTTCTCGGGTTTAGTTAGTGTCACACTTTCGGACACGTCTTTGGGAACAGTACTGATGGTAACCGTCTCCTCCTGTATCGTGTCTTCACTCTTAAGTGGTATAATCTCTTCAGTTGTTTCTTCAGTTTTCATTATTTTCTTCATTTTCTTTTTGAGTGTTATATCAGTTGTCGTTTCGACATTTGGTTTGCCTTCAGTCTCGGGAACCGCTGTTTTCTCGGGTTTAGTTAGGGTCACGCTTTCAGAGACAATATCCTTGGGAACAGTACTGATAGTAACCGTCTCCTCCTGTACCACGTCTTCTGACTTAAGTGGTATCACTTCCTCCACAGTCTCCTCCACTTTCTTTGGTTTCTTTATCTTCTTTTTGAGTGTTATATCAGTTGTTGTTTCGACTTCTGGCTCTGGTTTGTCCTCAACAGCGGAAACCGTTGACTTTTGAGGTGTGGTTAGTGTCACACTTTCAGACACAACGTCTTTGGGAACAGTACTAATCGTTAACGTCTCCTCCTGTACGGTATCTTCTGTCTTGAGTGGTATAATCTCTTCAGTTGTTTCTTCAGTTTTCTTTGGCTTTTTAATCTTCTTTTTGAGAGTTATATCAGTTGTCGTTTCGACCACTGGTTGGCCTTCAGTCTCGGGAACCGCAGTTTTCTCAGGTTTAGTTAGTGTCACACTTTCAGAGACAATATCTTTGGAGACAGTTGTGATGGTAGCCGTCTCTTCCGCTACTTTGTCCTCTGCTTTAATTGGTATCACTTTCTCCACAGTCTCCGCCACTTTCGTTGGTTTTTTAACCTTCTTTTTGAGTGTTATATCAGCCGTTGTTTCGACCTCTGGTTGGCCTTCAGTCTCGGGAATCGTTGTCTTCTCGGGTTTAGTTAGAGTTACACTTTCATTGACAATATCTTTGGGAACAGTACTGATAGTAACCGTCTTTTCCTTAACCATGTCTTCGCTCTTAAGTGGTATAATTTCTTCAGTTGTTTCTTCATTTTTCTTTGGTTTCATTGTCTTCTTTTTAAGGATTATATCAGTTGTCGTTTCGACCTCTGGTTTGTCCTCAATCTCTGGAACCGTTGGCTTTTGAGGTGTAGTTAATGTCACACTTTCTGACACAATATCTTTAAGAGCAGTTGTTATGGAAACAGTCTCTTCCGCTTCTTTATCCTCTGTTGTTAATCGTATAATCTCTTCAACTATTTCTTCAGATTTCTTTGGTTTTTTAATCTTCTTTTTGAGGGTTATATCAGTTGGGAGTTCGGCCTCTGGTTTGTCCTCAACCTCGGGAACCGTTGGCTTTTGAGGTGTGGTTAGTGTCACGCTTTCGGAGACATCTTTGGGAACAGTACTAATGGTTACGGT